CATTCCTTTATAGATTAACTATGTCATATGCAGCATATACGAGTTCACATTCCAGTCGAGTATTTTAATCTTGCTAATCTACGGATATGCACGCATAAACACCCATCTTTCAAATCGTTGATAAGAGGAAATGTGCCTTCGCCGTTAAAATATGTAACACCAATCAAGATAAAACAGCCCTGTCCTATTCTAGATTGGTATCAGCTTGGAAGGCTGTCAAGTTCTCGTGTAGACATCTCGGGAGCTGTGAGCAACATTCATGGCTGCAGTCGGACCGAGCTTAGTGCTAGCATACCGGTGTTGCTCGTTCAGCATTTTCAGCAAGATCTTGCACACCATTTGCTTTAATTCACTTCGAAATGACCTAAAATTACGTTTCTCAGCTAAATTCGTAGCAGAATCGTATTGAGTTGTCATAAGAAATGATACAGAGCTGCCAAGCTTCACGCACATGATATAGCGATTTACAGATTAGTACCTACCGACAAAATATGATATAAGTCATAGTCCCGGCGCCATTCCAGAACACCCATAGTACCATTTCGACGCAGTTGGTGTAGAAGCTTCGAGGAAATATAGGAAGAACAAACTCCGATACCAAAAAGCACAGCACTTGATAGGCGCAGAATGGAAACACCTTAAGAAAAAAAACGGTATTAGCGGAATGTTTCACTTGCATGGTTTCAACTTACGAGTAGTGTAATTCGAAATTCCGAGCTGGTACGAAGCATTGGACGTTTCTGTAAAATTTATTCTATTTACTGAAAGGTAGATGAGAAATCTTTTTTGAATCTTCTTCACCAGCGCGGAGAGTTGCATCCAAATACATCGATCTTTTATTTGCATATCTGCACCAGGGTTAATTTGCCTTTTCTAAGGGACCAATTGCTACTCCAAAAACTAATTGGTGCCCTTCATCAGCTTACTTATGATTGATGAAATTGTGTACTGATCGAAAATTTCGTAAGGACATCTCTTCTAATGCCTGAAAGAGTGCAATTATCATTACAGTTATCATGGCCAGGCAATACACAGGGTCTGCCAAAATTATGGCATGCTAAGAGCTTGCGAATCACGGGAGGCGGTCAATTCAATCGTCGGCTAATGAGGTCACGCCGCTCACGCGGCGGGCAGCGTCGCGCGCGGCAAATGGTGCGGCGATTTTTGTATGGGCCTTGGCTTAACGGTCCTTGTCCATAAGTTGCTGGTGGGGTTAGAGAACTGATAAGACCAAAGTTCCAGACATCAGTGAGCCAACAAGAGTCACCTTAAGATCTCCGCAGTTATTTAAGCCTCACTGTACAGAGCTTGTGCCATGTAAAGGTTGTCCTTTTGAACATAATTTGACTTCTTTATTAATCAACTGCCTGAATTGTTATCAGAGAGCGATAATCTGGCTAATCGGAAAATATTACGTTCCAAGACGCAGTGGAACGGTGAGGAAGGCATTAACATCAGTATGACAGAATAAGTTTGTAAATAATGGCAAAGGACAAGGAACCTGTATTTAAGGGGGCAGGTGATCATATACCGTGTTTCACGACTGGAAACTTCATCTAATCCTACATTCCCCAATGCTAGAACCCTGAATTCTAGCCACGGCCGACGTCGCATCGCGGGCTGCGGCGGCTGGCCACCTCCACGATTGAATCGTCACGCACCCACGAATTACATTATACCATCATCAGACGCGCTTCTGCTCAAAAAGGCTCGGAACATCCAAAATTCAAAAGATAAGCTGACTTATCTCCACAGCGAAGTGTAGCGGAGCGTTACACACAGCCAGTACATCAGCGACTAGCATTACTTTGCTATCCTTATGAAATCCTAATACTGCGGACAAGCCACGATGGAAGTAGCAGCCAATTATGGAAGTAACTCCCAATATTGCATGAATGGCATTGGTCATTTGTAATTGACGCGCACTTGTTTCGGTTGTTCACCTCCTAAGTTCTTGCCGGAATCCATGATGATAATGTTTTTCTCGACGAAATACCGTATCGTGAGCCAATATCCTGCAACTGATGTTAAAATCACTGCCGTCGTGCTGTTCTACTCCGTGTTTCTCCGATCGACCATGAGTGTACACATTGCTGCGCATTATCATTTGAGACGTTAATTGGATAACATTATCGCTCAACTGTGCTCGAACAAGACACCACTGTATTGCAGTAACCACTTTGTCAGAGATGAATGGTACGCATAGAGGTTGGCTCCACTACCTCAGCACGAGAGTGAACTTTCGGCACCAGAGGGAAGGAAAAAAAATTTCAGCTACCAACTCCAAGCCAGAAGTGAAATTAGAAGTATCAGTACAAGAACAACAAAAACGTCGAGGTTTCAAGATGATAAGACTTGAAATTTGCCACTCAACATCGAAAGGTGGAACACATTCATTGAAAGCGAAATAGTGAAATGCAATAATGAGAGGTTGTGGAGTCTTTATGGGGTTTTCGTACCCAAGAGAGAAAAAGAAACAGTGAAGTGTTGCTCCAGTCAGTCAACACAGTATCGGTTTTGATATCTGGTTGACCTGCCATCTCTTCTAAGCCTAGAACATCACAGAAGCAGATGTTGACCGGATTTCAGATAACTTACTTGTGAGACGAAGTTACCAACGGTTTGGTCTCTTGTAAAATAGAAAAATCGTAATTCTGCTTTCAGTTTAATGTGAGGAGCAGAGAATCGAACAATATGCTTGGTTCTGCCTTCTCTCAGCATCCCAATTAGCGGTTGGGTAGTTTTCGAACTCATTCGATCAATCCTCATAAAAGTGTGCATGAAGCAGAGCCATTTGCCTACTAATTTATATGCTAGCACTAAAGTTACAGATGGCCAAAAAAAGCGACACTCCCCTTAACTTCAAGGAGCGGCCTTATGACACTCGGCTAGGCCTGATAATTTCATAAGTGGATTGAAAAACACATTCCATTCTATCGAAAAACTCTTTGATATGCTTCTACACCGGAAAATCACATGATTCTACTTCGGGAACATGGCCAGGTTTGAGAATCCATTCTGACATTGTCCAAAATGTTGGTCAGCACGGATCCCGCGAAATCAGTGCCACCTTCTTAGAAAGACGTCCACCACTAAATCGATCCAAGAAATTATGTAGCAGCTTCAGGCTGGAGCAATTACCTCCTTGAGCTCGACGGTGATGACAGATGACGTCATATTCTGAAGACGGTGAGGGCAGTGAAGGAGGGCCTGCTTCTACTTATGGAGGGACATTTCGGAATATTTCGCCGAAAGATTTTCATTCATTTTCGGCACCCTTCGCGAGGTAAAGCTTCCTGATGCATCCCATCATCAAAGTGTTTTTTGGTCACCCTGTCGGTAGCGATGTACTGTCTTCGAACTTTTGATTATTTTGCGCGATAGTTGTTGAAGGAACAACATAAACGCAACACAACTATGCAACACTTACACAAAATAGAATTGTGAAAGAAGCAGTGTAAAGGATAGTACTCAGAAATACCGTACTGTAATTACTGACAGTATCCAGTTGATCGGAAATCCAGCTATATGGATAGCCTAAACGAGCACATTTTCTCAATATTAGTACTTTATTCACTCTTCACTGTCTGAGTGCCCCTTTCGTCATGAAAGGTGTCGAAGCGATACGAAAAAATGTATAATATCAATGATAAAGGAGTAGGGTCATCGCGTAATGCAGTAATCCACACTTCACACCGCTTCATTCACTAGGCAGGCCTAAGGCAGTTTCAGTACTTTGCACTCCAAATTCCCCGCCTTACTATCTCACCGAAGTCTCCCATTTGTGAACAAATTCAGGGCTGTGATAGCCCACATGCTGTTCACCGGAGCATGTGCTCGTGGAGGCAGCTCGTACGGTCTGCCAAATAATAATCTCCTGCAAATCGCTAATATTGTTATGGATACAAAATATTTCCTAACAACGATAGGTACTAATATATAACACTATATAGCCGGCCAGCTCCACAGAAAGTTGGAACCTTGAAGGCATGCCCCAGGATCACATTGGTGTGGCTCTTGCACACGAATGCGAATGTATTGGTGCGAAGTGGGCCGGCAGTAAAAAAAAGGAAAAGAATCCGTCGAAAACGCTTAGGTTAAGGGCTCACTCACCTTCCTAATCGGCTGTGCTAAGGGAATGAGAGACTAAGCGCGGAGTTAAAGTATGAGGCGAGAGAGCGCTACAGGTACTCCCATGAGGCCCGTCTCTGACGAAGTCAGACGACGACTGGAGCAAGATCAGTCCTTTTGTACGTTATGCCTCACTTTCTGTCTGCGTTACTTTCAATGTTTGTTTTCGCTCCATAGGGGTCTAATGAAATGAATACACCTTCATGAGGAAGGAAGAACTCGAAAGAAGGTGAATAGAAAGTCACTCGATATCCGATAGTTGGGGTAGGCGTGTGGCACCAGAAGTGACGTGCACTTGATAGAAGCTACGTGGATAAGCTGCTTCCATCGCTGGATATCAGCAAAGCATGCTGGCAACAGCTTATCCACGCAACTTCTATCAAGTGCACGTCACTTCCGGTGCACACCCACCCCAACTTTCGGATATCGACTGTATGACACAACGAACAAGAGGACTGATATGGCTCCATTCGACGTGGCTACACTTTCGAGCAAAAAATGATTTGGTTTTCAAGACGGTTTCTTCTCACAAACAAGGTCTCTTTAACTCACTACGTAATAATGACCCTTGAAAGTCTTTAATTATCCCAAACAATATCCATTGAAAGATTGGATTTGAAAGAAGACTTCTTCTGGGCACTGTTCGATGAAATTGAAATGTTTCCCAAAATGCGGAAGTTTAACTTGACCAAAAAGCAATGATGAACATCCAGAGCTCTTCTTTGTTCCATAACCTACAGGATTCCAGAAAAGATTGTTAACCGTATTGGAGCTTTGACTCAATTTTTGCGCAATATGACTGCTTGACGATTCCTGGTCCTTTTTTGCTACAGTTTACCTTTTTCAAAACCAACTGTCTTTTTTATCTTGTGGGAACATTAAGGTGAAAGCCTGATAACTGCGAATCAGTTTCATGAAGCAAAAATGAATTTCAACGAAGAAACACGGGGTGGCTGTATCATTTTTGAACATAGGAAAATCGACCTCTTCTGAAAAAATAAGCACAAAATTTTTTTGTTTTCGACATGGATTTTTGTGTTGATATCTGAACTCGCCATGAAATTTGTCACATTTTCTATCTGGACAGTTTTTCAGAAACTCTATGAACTTTGAGTTTTCGAACAAATTTAGGTGGCTGTATCATTATTGAACGCAGTGTATTTTCGAGTGAGTGCGGTTCTGGTGAGTAAGCCCATTGATCGTGTTCCTTCTTGCTCTGAATCGCCGTGATTTCGGCGGAAAAATAGACCAAGGACTTGTAAACAACCTTTAGATATCTGTTAGGCGCGTAAGCTTCATCGCAAACATCCAGATGATATATTAGCAAGGATGCAGGCGTAAAACTCACCTGCATCATAGAACCAGAAATCTTTTTCATTGAATGTGACTGCGGAAAACGGGGAGAGCTCGAAAGCCAACAATAAAAAATAAAATAATAACAGCACGATTAGAGCCACCTTAACACACTTCGATTAGTGGTCGCTTTTGTTCAGCCATCTTCTCACAGCAACAGTAAATTATCATAAGACTACAAATGGTCTAAAACAAACAACCCTTGAAGCATGGAACTAAGCCGATGCTAACTGCCTTGGAATCTTGATTCCAGTATTCCACGAAAGCTATTTGATGTTGCACCAAAAAAGGGTATGCCATTAATCTTGACAAATCACCCTTTTTCACACACTTTGTAAATGTGAAATGGAGTAACAACCAAAAAAGAATTATGAATTTAGCTGGGATTATTAAGCAACACTAATACAAGTAGTAATCTCCGTATCTCAACTGAGGAGTACATCTTTTTTGGTCGTAATGGTAGTGCCAGACGT